GATGGATAGCTAACTATAGGATAAAGCAAATATAGCAAAGTATTAATTGTAGTGTCCAGGTGGTGAATACTTAGATATTTACTATATAAATCTTTGTTTTCTATGTTTGGAAATTTTCGTAAGAAAATGTTGGTGAATACATATACAAAAAATAACTGCCAATCCATAATTTTGTATACAATGAAAATATCTTCTAAGAATTAGGGGATCTCTGAAAATGTTTATCTACTCACTTGACCCAGAAAACCCCACAAAATCATGCAAATCAAGAATTCAAATCTTCATGTTCATATTAAGAACACTTGTGAAACTGCCAAAGCTATTGTATGCATATCTGAAAAAGCCACCAAGTCTGAAGGATATCACTTTACAGAAGCAACTTGTGCCATTCTGTCATGACAGTGGTGGAGTTGGTAAGTGTGCCTAGGCCAAACAGTGTGGTTGGACACAGGGTTGGTGCTGAATTATTGTACATGCTTAAAAATGCAGAGAATAATGATGGACTTAAGGATTTAAATGTAGCTTCTCTGGTCATTAAGCACTAGATGCAGTGCAGAAATTATAGAACTCGTGGTCAGATTAATCCATACATGAACTCCCTGCCACACTGAGATGATCCTTACCGAAAGAGAAGAGATTGTTCCTAAATCAAAAGGAGAGGTTGTACAGAAGAAAAAATATCCCAGAAGAAATGGAAGAAACAAAAACTTATGGCCTGGGAATAAATTCAATATAAAGTGAATGGAAATAAAAGTATACATACATGCACATGTGTGCATGGATGTATGTGCACATATACACATGTAACTAAAACATACCACAATGATGGCATTTAAGTTGGTGGAAGCAATGACTGGTATAAAGTATTCCAACATCATTACACTGTTGGGCAGGAAAAATGTTTAGATTGTGATAACTTAAGCATGTCCTACTAAATTAAAGTTTTAGCAGAAGCACCAGAATAATGCAAATATAATATATACCTTCCAAAAGAGGAGGAAATAAAAGAAGGGAGAGGGGAACAATCTAAACGAACAAAGGAGGGAATCCCTGGGTGGCTCAGTGGTTTAGTGCCTGCCTTTGGCCCAGAGCGTGATCCTGGAGTCCCAGGATTGAGTCCCACATCGGGCTCCCTGCATGGAGCCCGCTTCTCCCTCTGCCTGTGTCTCTGCCACTCTCTCTCTCTGTGTGTCTCTCATGAATAAATAAATATTTAAAAAGTAATAATAAAAAAATAAAGGAACAAAGGAGGGAAATGAAAACATCAAAGTTACATAATTATACAGAAAGGCTGAAAATGAGGGAACAAAAAAAATTAGTCAAAATACTAAGCAAAAGAAAGGTGACGTAGATATATTAATATTGGATAAAATAGACTTTAAATAAAAGCATTGTTATAAAAAGATCAAGAACAGGGGTGCCTGGGTGGCTTCGTCAAGTATCTGCCTTCTTATAACCTTAAGAATTTATGTTAGAAGTATAAAAAATTAGTTACCTAAGTATCCAACTTAAAATGTGAGAAAAAAAATGGCAGAATAAATGGAAAGAAAGTAAAGAAAAAATAAAGAATACAAAATAAAGGGAATGGTAAAAGTTAATCAAAAAGATTAATAAGGCCCCAAATAGGTTTTAGTGTTATCATGTACCAAAAATTATTATAACACTATGTTAAAAGCATGTATATAGTGCAGATAATAAAAATGACCAAGAACAAAAAAATGACCAACAAAATTGAATAAAGAACCCCCTAACAGTTCTATCTATCTATCTATATCTATCATATACATATATAAATATATGATAACCTAATTTATGACTGTCAGTAAGAGGGGAAAGGGTAGCCTTTTCATAATGCAAGACAACTGGTATACAAACACACACACAAATTGTACCCCTCCTTTGTCTTACAGAAAGAGATCGATTCCAAGAGGTTTTATGAGAAAAAAAAATGTGTAAGGCAAAACTATAAAGCTTTAAGACAGAAAACTAAAATTATGACCTTGGTATAAGAGAAGAATTTTTAAAAAGATTTTAGGAGTATGTACAAAAAAAAAAAAAAAGAGTATGTGCACACCCTGCTGCACCTGAGTCAGGGAGGGGCAGAGGGAGAGAATCCTCAAGCAGACTCCCCATGGAGACAGGTCTCAATCCCCCAACCCATGAAATCATGACCTGAGCTGAAACCAATAGCCGGTTACCCAACAAAGGCACCCACCAGGTGCTCCTAGAGAAGAATTTCTTAAACAAAATGCAAACAATTACAAGCCATAAAGAATAAATAAACCTGACATTAAAAGAGTACTTCTACTTATTAAAAGATTACTAAATAATGAAAAAAACAAACTATAAACTAGAAGGCATGTTCAATCATAAACACCTAAACAATTTTTAAAATAAATTTCTAAAACTAATAATAAAAGATAACCCAAGAAAAAATGAACACAAGACTTTATTTTTAAGATTTTATTTATTTATTAGAGACAGAGATCACGAGCCGGGGGAAGGGCAGAGGGAGAAGCAGACTGAGCAGGGAGCCCTACTCAGGACTCAATCCCATGACTTTGGGATCATGACCTGAGCAGAAGGCAGACACTTAACTGAGCCACTCAGGCCCCTGAGCACAAGACTTTAATAGGCATTTCACAGAAGAGGAATGGCCAGTAAACATATGTTTAAAAAGAAAAGAAAAAAAAAAAAGCTCAACCTCAATCAGGGAAATGGAAAATAAAACCAGAAATAGGTGCTATTTTCATATCCATCTACCAGATTGTCCTAAACCCAAAATTCTGACAATTTCAAATGTTAGTAAAGAATATAAACTGGAAAATCTCCTGTGGAAAATACTGCACATTTCCTAGTAAAGTTGAAGGCATATGCATGTTCCAAATACCCTACGTTCAGTAATACAATATTCCTAAAATATATCCTAAAACAGTGGCTGGTAAATTCTAGCGACGGCCTAAATCCTGCTGCCTGTCTTTGTCAATAAAGTTTTATTGGAAGACAGCTACACTCATTCTTTTACCTATTCCTTTACCTACTGTCCAGGGGTGCTTTCCTGCTACAATAGTAGAATTGAGTAGCTGTGACAGAGATGGTATGGCCTACAAAGCTTAAAATATTTCTTGTATTTCCTCTTACAGAAAGTTTTCCAACCTCTGCCCTACAGCAATGTCTGCATATCCATTAGTGAACATGTACAAGAACGTTTATAGCAGCACTGCATTATCAAACTTTGAAACAACTTCTATTTCTATTGAGAATGGGTTAAAAACTGGTAAAATACAATAGGACACCATACAACAGTGAAAGTGAATTATAGCTATAGCTAAATCTCAGGATCTTATATTGACAAAAAAAAAAGAGACAAGTCACAGAATATAAAATATTTATATAAAACTCAAAAATATGCATAGCTAAACAACATATTTTGGTTCAAACTGTAGCTGACACTATAAAGAAAAGTGACAGAATTTTAACACAAAACCCCAGATAATTATTGTATTTGAGAGGAAAGGTTTAAAAGGAATAGGAATGGGGATAAATGTCTAGGTATCTTCAAAGTTAACAGTAATGTTCTCTTTCTTAGAATAGGTAGTAGGTATACAGGTTTTTGTTACATTGGGAATGACTATTATACTTTACATACATTTCATAAACTTTTGTAACTACTCTATTTAATAGAAACCTTTAAAAAAACTATCATTGAAAACTACAAATTAAAAGAGGGAATGAAAGCTAAATTATTTTGGTAAGTCATACTGAAGTGGACTCCATTTTCCCAACTGGACTGGAATCTTTTTCTTTTTTTTAATAACCTCAGTATGGGTTTGTTTTGTTTTGCTCTTTTAGATTTTGTACTGGAAGTTCAAGTTTGTGATTAAAAAAAGAAAGAAAAAAAGGCCATGAGACAATTCAGGCTTACCCACAAAGCATACACAGCTTTATTTTCTCTCCCTGAGCCAAGGTAAAATCTTAAGTATAAAGTTATGTAATTATTTTTTTTAATCGATGGCCTCTCAACCTTACCCAATAACGTCCCCATAATAGCACAAGGGAATGAGTACCCACCTCGCGGGCCTGTGCCAGAGGAAAAAAGCAGTTAAGCTAGGACTGGCTTTGAAATCATGTTTCTTGAAAACAACACTGTTGATTTTGCCTTCTTCCCCATAACACGTAATTTGATCCAATAGAAAAATCGTGTTTAAATTATTTGTCAGATAAACTGATAACCTTTATTTCCCCAGATCAAATCAGTGTTCAAGAAAGAAATAACCTGACCGTCAGTCACACACATGCTCTTTTGGGAGTCAAACTCCTACAGACACCAAGAAATAAAGGCATGAGAAAAGCACATTTGCATAACACGAATCACCACCAGTCATGCAACCACTCTCAATTATGAACACAAAACAAACCACGACAGCAGAGGTCCCTTCTTCCATCACACAGTCCCACACTGTTATGCCATTCCCACGCAGCTTCAAGTATGAACCACCTCACACCCGACGGCGTGTAGAATCACACACAGGGAGAAATACAACCACACACCCAGTCGCCGAGGGTCTCTCAGTTCGCCCAACAACATCTCGCGTTGTCTCACACACACCGAAGGGCCTGGCAAGGCACAGGGAGGGTCTCTGCGAGACTGAGGGTCCGGCTGGTCCCCCCCTCAGCTCCAGCTCTTCCGCTGCACCTGCCCGCCCGAGGGTCCCACCTTCTCCGGATTCGGTAAGACTCTGGAACCACCCAACCCTGGCAGTCTCAGGCCCAACTGCCCCAGCAGATCGCGCCGGACGCCTGCGCACGAGGGCACTCCCAGAAACACCCGCAGCGCCGCCGCTGCGCCAGCGGGTTTTAGCTGCGGAGTCCAGGAACCTGGAGGAGGGTTTAGTGAACTGGGATTCCTAGCGTCCGGACGGGTCAACCACAGCCCTCCCGGCGTTGGACTACATTTCCCAGAGCCACCGCGTCCCCAAGTGCGGCTTCATTTCCGTTTGTTCGCGCGATTTGGGGACCTCGCGAGGGGAGGGCAGCGCTTGTGGAGGAGCTTGGCCCGGCTCCGGCTGGGCGGGCGAACCTGAAATCGGGGCTTGGACCCCGGGCTCCAGATCCTGGATCCTGAACTGCACCCTCTGTCGAGGTGAGGATTGTCCGGAATGCCGGGGCGGAAGCGTCGCTGGAAAGCAGCGTGTGTGGCGGTCTCCTGCCGTTTTGTGTGGTGAGACAGCCTGCCTGGTCTTGGTGTGGGCGAATGAACGTGTGCGAGGGTGGTTTTGTGAATAAGCGTTTGTGTGAGAGAGAGTTGTGACTCTGAGGGTGTAGTAATACCGCTGTGACATTGTGTGTGTGACCGCGTGCTTAACTAACTGGGAATGTGCTTGTGTGACAGTGTGATTGTGCGAACGTCGTATGTGACTGGGGGTTTGCTTGTGACTGTGAGCCGTGCGACTCTGCTGTTGTGACAGGGTGTTTGGATGTTTTTGGATCACTTTGAGGTTGTGTATGCGACTGTGTATTGTGTGTATTCCTGGGGTTTGTCCGTGACTTTGAGGAGTTATGAGAGTGTTTTTGTGACACGGTGTTTGTGACCACTTGTTTCTTTGACCTGGTAGTTGGTCATATTTTTCTGTGTGATTGGATGGCTGTGTGAATGCCATGTGTGACTGTTGGGACTGTGAGCGTGCTGCTTTCATGACTGTGAAGAGAGTGCTGCCTTGTAGGTGTGTTTTTGGCCGTGTGTATCCCCGACAGGGTGCTTGGATGTGCTTGAGTGATTGTGTGTATGCACTGCTTATGATTGGATTTTGTTTAAGGTGAAAGGTGGTCTGAGGATGTAATATTAATTTGGAGATTGTGACTCTGTCAGTGTGACCATGGAAATGTGTGTGACTTTGTTTAGTCATTTGTATATTTTTATAGCCTGTGATCTTAAGAGAATTTAATGAAGTACAGAGATAAAATTGGATTTTTGTATTTTGGAGGTTCATTCTGGTCTGAGTCTGCCTGTTTATCATGAGTCTCACGTGGTTTTGTCCTCACAAAACTTGACTTCTTTCTCTTCTGAATCTCAGTGACCCTCTGTCATCCCCCTTCATACATGGCCTATATTGCTTCATTTCTGTATCCATTCTTTGTTAGCATTGCAGATGTAGGTTTCCTTTTGGCTTCCAGGTGTTCTCTCACCTTACAGCCTTAAGGATGTTGAATGCAGAAAGGTGACAGAAAGGAAAGAAGTCAGAAATTTGAGCCCCTGAATGAAGACTGTAAGTTATTTCTAAGCCACAGACCTGTGTCTGACAAGATTAGAGCTGATAGCACCTTCAAAACAGGCCATTTGGAAATGTAATGGGGTTCCAGGAGTGGGAATACTTCTAGAGAATGTGCCAGAGGAGCCAGTCACACACTTTAGAACCTGGAAGTACTTCACTGCGGGGCTTTGTCTCCAGTAGACAATTTTGAATCCAGAAATAAATTCTAGTCCGAGACAGCTGTGATCTTGGACCATCTTTCTTTCTTTCTTTTTTTTTTTTAATTTATGATAGTCACAGAGAGAGAGAGAGAGAGAGGGGCAGAGACATAGGCAGAGGGAGAAGCAGGCCCCATGCACCGGGAGCCTGACGTGGGATTCGATCCCGGGTCTCCAGGATTGCGCCCTGGGCCAAAGGCAGGCGCCAAACCGCTGCGCCACCCAGGGATCCCTTGGACCATCTTTCTAAAACAAAGGGCAGAACTGTTCTACTCTCCTGACTTTCTTTCATTTTAGATGAAAGGTAGATTGGGGAATTGGGTGAGTAAGAGTATGTGTTCTAATTTAGAGTATATTCCAAGAAAGGTCTACTATCTCATGATTCCATTTTCTTTTCCTGAGAGTAGAGCCCAGAGGAGGAAAAAAATGGCTGTTATACATTCAAAAGCAAAGTCCAAGGTGAGTACATGTTTCCTCTTTGTTTCCCTAAATGCCTTTATTTTTTTCAGGATATAGAAATCTTTGTTTTCTCTTCGAAATTTCCTAGTTAAGCTTTCTCAAATGATAGAAGTGGCAAGGCAATTTTCTGTAGATTGAGAGCAAGACTATCTACAGTTAGTTGTGATAGATATTTCCCAATAGTGGGTAAATTGAGGAAGAATGGATGTGAGACTCATAAATTTATGAAGGAGATAATGTGATTTCGGACACAGCAGCATTTTTTAAAAAAACTTTTTGTTTGGTGCTATTATTACTATTCCCCCCCCCTTTTTTAAGAGAGAGGGATGGGGAGGGAGAAGAGGGAGAGAGAGAATCTTAAGCAGGCTCCACGCCTAGCGCCAAGCTGGAGGCAGGGTTCGCTCTCCCAACCTGAGCCAAAATCAAGAGTCTGACACTTAACCAACTAAGCCACCCCAGGTGCCCCTGTTGGTAATTTTCAAACATACACAAAAGTATGATGAATCATCATAGGCCCAGCTCAAAAGTTACCACTTGCCAATCTTATTTATTCTGCCTTTGGTTTGAAATCCTTTCTAATTTGCCTTTTGATTTCTTCTTGGACTTATGGGTTATTTAGAAAATCTTCTTTTTAGGTATTATGAGGATCTCGCAGAGATCTTTTTGTTACTGATTTCTAATTTCATTTCAGTGTGTTCAGAGAATATACGTTTTATGATGTGAATCCTTTAAAATTTATTAAGAATAGTTTTGTGACCCAGAATGTGTGCACTTGAAAAGACTATATTCTGCTGTTGGGTGAAGAGTTCCATAAATGTCAGCTAGGTAACTCAGGTTGATAGTGTTGTTTAAATCCTCTGTATCTTTACTGATTTTGTCTGTTTTTTCTTTCTCGTAATTTCTATTAGTTTCTCCTTCATGTATTTTGAAGCTCTGCACTGGGTGTTATGCTATATGTTGGCAAATTGAATTCCAATAAAAATAAAAAAAATATTTTGAAGGTCTGTTAGATTCACAAAAGTTTTCCATAATACATCCTGTTGGTGAATTGATCTCTTTATCATTATGAAATGGTCTTCTTTATCCCTGGTAGTGGTCTTTGCTCTGAGCATCTACTTTGATATTTAATGTTGCCACTCTCGCTTTCTTTTAATTTATGTTAGCATGAAATATATTTTTCTATCCCTTTATTTTTTACCTGTTTGTGTTCTGATGTTGAAGCACATTTCTTGTTGGCTGCATTTAGTTGGATCTTGTGATTTTATCCAGTTTGACGATATCTGGCTTTTTTTTTTTTAAGATTTTATTTATTTATTCATGAAAGATACAGAGAGAGAGAGCGAGGCAGAGACACAGGCAGAGAGAGAAGCAGGCTCCAGGCAGGGAGCCTGATGTGGAACTTGATCCCAGGACCCCAGGATCATGCTCTGGGCTGAAGGCAGGCGCTAAACCGCTAAACCACCCAGGGATCCCCAACAATTTCTGTCTTATAATTATGTATATTATTTAGTGTGATCATTGATGTGGTTTTGTCAAATGCATCATTTTATCCCGTCTGTTCCCTACTCCCTTTTCTTTCTTTTCTGCTGCCTTTTAAATTGGGAGAGTTTCAAACTAACAATAGCCATATTTTAACTATCTGAATACAGAAAAACAAGACTTCTTGGGAGTTCAATAGGATATTATGTATTCTATAGTTAGGCTCATTTGTTTCATCTTGCTTTCTACTTTTAGTGATTGTTATTCCCCACTTTAATTTTATTTTAAAATTATATAAAGTATATACTTATTTTCAAAATCAAAACTACAGAACAAGGTGAATGCAGAGAAGTCCAGTGTTCATTCCTGTCCCCTTCACTCTGTTTCCTTTTTCCCTGTGTAGATAACTACCTATTCTCTTTGGTGTATTCTTCAATTTTTAAAAAATGGCCTATGTTTATGTGTATGTGTTTGTATGTATACATATGTATCCATACATGGACACATTTATTTTTTACATCACCATTCTTAATTAAAAAAGGAGTATTCTATACACTACATTTTGTTTTCCTCACATGTTTAATGTATCCTGGAGGTCATTCTTAGCGGCCCACAGAGATCTTTCTTATTCTATATTGTAATTACCTATTCTGTTGTGTGAGTGTAATAATTTACTCACCCAGTCATCTGTGAGTGGGCATTTGTTTTTTTTTTCCCCAATATTTTTCCATTATTAATATAGCAATCAATAACAGTGCGTATGGTTTCTATTTGTAGAGGTTTATCTTTGGGGCAAATTTCTAGAAGTGGCCTAAGTTTATTTTAATGTTTTTGACATAAATTCTACCTGAATCACAACTCTTGAATAATAATAAAATGGATACATTTCCTTATTTTTCCCCTTCCCCATCTTTTTCTCCATTACCCAAGTTTAAAAAAGTCTTAGAGGTTTTTTTACTGTTAAATATTCTTTTTCTCAGAATATATTGAGCCTTTTTTTTTAACCATTGCATATCCTTTTAAAAAATTTTTACAAAGCTATTATTTCCTGATATCAAAGTAGTTTTCTGATATGAAAGCAGTACATGTTTGTTGGTATGACTTAGAAAATACAAAAAGAAATAAGAAAATAACAAATATTCAAAAAGTCTCTTTTAGAATGAATCATAGTTCATATTTTGAATCTACATTCAAGTCTTTTTTTTTTAACTTTTAATTATAGAAAAATTGGGATCCCTGGGTGGCGCAGTGGTTTAGCGCCTGCCTTTGGCCCAGGGCGCGATCCTGGAGACCTGGGATCGAATCCCACGTTGGGCTCCCGGTGCATGGAGCCTGCTCCTCTGCCTATGTCTCTGCCTCTCTCTCTCTCTCTCTGTGTGTGTGTGTGACTATCACAAATAAATAAATAAAAATTAAAAAAAATAATTATAGAAAAATTTAAACATGTATGAAACTAAAAAGTAAAATGTAGTATATCCCCATGTACCCTCCCCATCACTAAGCTTTAGCAAATACAATTTATAATTAAACATGTTTCATCTATAGATCCACCACTCCTTCTCCTGACCAAAAAATGGATTATCTTGGAGTAAATCCCAGATATGTAATTTCATCCACAAATATTTTAATATGTGTTTCTAAAAGATAAGAACTTTATACTTAAAAAACATAATCACAGGACATCTGAATGGCTCAGTTGATTAAGTGTCTGACTCTTGGTTTTGGTTCAGGTCATGATCTGGCAGCCGTGTGATTGAGCCCTGCATCAAGCTCTGAGCTCAACGTGGAGTCTGCTTCAGATTCTCTTTTCCCTCTCCCCTCCCATTCATTCTCTCTCTTTCTCAAGAAATAAAATCTTTAAAAAACATAACCACAATATCATCACTATAAAGAACCCCACCTTTAATACCTTATTAATATTATGAAAAAGCAAGTTAGTGTTCAGATTTCTCCCATTGTCCATAAATACTTGTAGAATTAAGATCCAAACAATGTCCATTTAGTATAATAGTGTGATATGTTTCTTAATCTTGATCTTAATCTTTCTTTCTCTTTTCTTGCAGTTTATTTGTTCCAGCAACAGTTTTCTTATAGAGTAACCCATATTCTGGATTTTATTGGTTGCACATGTGTGGTGTCATTTTACATGTTCCTGTATTCTAAACTAGCATTTAATTCTAGAGACTTGATCAGGTTTACATTTTTTTTGTGGTTTTGCTTGTTTGCTTTGCACTAATTCTTCATACATAATGGTGTGTGCTGCATAACATTTGGTTGCTTTTCTTTATGTGATATTAACAGCTATTGGTTATTTCGGAATTTATTATTTTATCAGTGTTACAAGATATTCTAATTCTTTTATTTCTTCTGCATTTATTAGTTGGAATACTTCCCTAAAGGGAACTATCCTCTCATCAATGTCTTGGTTACTCTGAGGTATAGCTTATGTAAAACAAATCAGGATAAAAGCTTGCTTTTGCTCATGATTTCTCAGCATCTTCCAAAGTTTATCCTATGTTTTCCTTTTAAATTATTACCATGAACTTGCAGATTTATTTTTTTTTAATTTTTTTATTTATTTTTATTTTTATTTTTATTTACTTAGGATAGTCACAGAGAGAGAGAGGGAGGCAGAGACACAGGCAGAGGGAGAAGCAGGCTCCATGCACCGGGAGCCCGATGTGGGATTCGATCCCGGGTCTCCAGGATCGCGCCCTGGGCCAAAGGCAGGCGCCAAACCGCTGTGCCACCCAGGGATCCCCGAACTTGCAGATTTAAATATATTTGATATGTTTCAGTCCATAGCAGTTATTGTTTTTATTAATACTCAGATTGTTCATCTTTGTTTATGGGATCCTCTTTACTCCGATTTGGCTCCTTTAGGATTCTGTGGCTCTGGTCCTTGAAGTAGGAAAAGCCTTTTGTCTCGTACCCTGTTGGCAATGAAAAGATTCCCTACATCTGTGCTGATCCATCTGACTGTCTGAGGTACTGTTCCATGGAGAAATATAAAACAGCTGGGGAGCCAGTGCTTTCTTTGGGTTAGCCTCTTTTTGTACTTAGAGATTAGTAAGTGATTAAAAGCTGACTGTTACTTTCATTTTGGGTTGTTGTCTTAGTTTTTCTGACAACTTGGCAGTTCAGCTCTTTTCAGCTCAGCTTTTGACAGTTTGGTGTGGTATTCTTGACAGTTGAGTGTGGTGTCAATTTTGTCAAGGTACTTGATAGTGTTGTATGTAAATACTCTATCTCATTAATCTCATTTTTATCTACTTGTTCTGATAGTTGCTGAAAAATATTAAAATTTCCAAATCTCATTGTGGATTTGTCCATTTCTTCCTTTAGTTCTGTTAGTTTTTGCTTCATATATTTGGTGCTTTGTTATATCTCTACACATTTAGGATTTCTGCGTCTTCTTGATGAATTTGTCCTCTTTATCTTTTGTATTAGTCTTTGTCTTGATCTCTTTTTTGTCTTATATTATTAATATGAGTGCATAGGCTTTCTTATCCTTAGTATTT